TCCAGCGGATGAAGGCCAAGGCCTTGCGGCAGAAGCAGGACGCCGGGCTGCCCGCGGGAAAGGCGCCTCAGAGGAGCTGCGGCAGCGACCTGATCCTGACTCCCACCCTAAATCCCGTGGAGCAGGGGCGAAGGCATAACAAACCTGTCGCAGCAGAAGGTCGGCAGAGACCCGCCGAGGTGCCTGGTCGGTGTATCCAGCCAGAAAAAGGTTTGTTCGATCGTTTCTCCGGGAAATCTGTCTCTCATTTAACATTTAGCTAGGTGTGACTTACTCTGTATTTTGCTTATGGCTCTTCCAGGGCCTGGAAAAAGCAGCCAGTGTGTGTTCATAGGTGTAAAAAATATTGGTGCCAGTACTGGTTTTCCCCCAGATGTTTGGGATTTAAAAAAAAAAAAAATCAGATGATGGGTTTTTTTTAATGCTAAATAGTGTCTGTAGCATAGTTGATTTCTCTTCCACTTTCTTTACCTTAGAGGAATCCCTCCCATGGTATTTTCTCCCTCCCTTACTCAGTCTGGCTTTAACTACTCCTTCTGTTGTGTGTGTGAGTGGGATTGACCCTTTGCAACATCTTGAAAACCAGAGAATTACACTTTATAAGTAAAAAAAAAAAAAAAAAAAAAAAAATCAAAACAACCAATTACTTTAACTACTCCCTGCAGTCAATACAGAAAGGAGAAAGGTTCGTGGAAGAATTGTTTGGGTTTTGAAACCCTGGGGCGCTTCCCTGGGCAGCCTGGTCTGATGGCTTTTCCAGTGCATCTTCTGTTTCTCCTGACTAGTTGGCGTAATGTGAACTTGCAAGCGCTGTGCCGCCTCCTGTAAAGGTGCTGTAGGTGAGTAGGAATGGCCTTGCTTCTGGTTCATGTCCCAGAGCTGTGCATCTGTAAAGGTAACAGATATTTTAAAGAGGAGGGTGTCCTGTGGTGGTGCCCTGTTATTCTCATGCTATGATCACCCGGAGTGGGAGACCCAATGATATATTGGCTAGTTTACCAGAAGGGTTATGCTTCATTGCTACATGTATTCCTCTTCGAAGTACAGTACTTAAAAATCTCCTGTACTAAACGTTTATCCAGTTTTGGGTGGGGATTAAGACCTAACTGGTTCGTCTGTTTAAGACATAATTGCAGAAAAATATGCGAACTGCTCAGCCTGTCTTATCTGGCCGCTAGCATGGGCAGCTGTATGCTGTTTTCGCTGGGGGGGTTATCGAGTTGTTCTCAAAAGAACTTGCGGTTACGGAGGTGGCAGTGCCCTCGTTTTATAGCTAGATATGAAAAAGACTTCTAAAATCTTCTTTCTGCAACATAAAACCACTTGTTGCTCTTAGTGTTTCTGTTGGAGACAATAAAAATGAGATTAAACCATTATTATGGTGACTGGAAAAAGGGAAACATTGCACCCCCTTTTGAAAAGGTTAGGAAAGAGGACCCGGGGAACTACAGGCCAGTCAG